CTCCTATCCTAACTCCTCCAGACCTCTGGACCCTCTACTCCTCTTTCTGGGCTTCCCTCTATCTCCTCCTGTCTCCTCTGACTCTGACTGGGGGTTTTCCTCCAGAAAGCTGGTTGTCATATTGATGATAACTGTGTAAGTCGCTTTGGATAAAAGCGTCTAAAAGCAGAAACAGAAACGTTTCCCTTTAACTTTCAGACCGAGAACATGAAACTGTGAGCTTCTGGTGTTTTTCTCACACCGCAGGGGGCATAAATGTCCCGCTAAACTGAGCTGATTGGACGATTTGGGAGGCTGATCCGACACCATTTTTTACACCAAAACATAAACCAGTTCGACAAACTTCTATCGAATTCTACCGTTTCATGGGTTCATTTACAAGTCTTCAAATCTCTGCTTAAAAAGATGATAAAGGCTCGACTGTTGCCTCCCGTTTTTTGCTTTTCAGGTCTCTAAACCTGACGCACACCCGGGGACACAACATCTGATTAAAGCCTGGTTTAATGGAGCTCCGTACAGAGCGGTGGATGCAGAGGGGAGCTTTATCCCGCCTGGAGGAGCCAACAGGCCTCGTCTCGCTGTGTGCTCCTCAGTTTGATGCAACAAGTCCCAACAGGATGGACATACTGCTGGAAGTGGGTGACTAGTGAGCCCCATCCCACCGAAATTCCTCCAGATCTGCTCCTAAACGAGCGTGAGCTTCTCACCAATCCAAACCAAGGACGTGGACGAACGAAGAGGAAAGACTCAAACGTCTGGTTCTTAGCTTAAACGGCCTAAAATCTCATGAAGCTTGTGTTTGTTTTCATTAGTCACACAGATACGGGACAGGAAGTGTTGATAGATAAGAAAAAGGATGAGTCAAAACGACATATCTGAGTAGTTCAGAAAGGTTTGACTCCACTTTTTCGATTCATTTCCAGCTCTGAGCTCATTCGGGGGAACAGAAAGACGGCGGAAGCTCGTTCTGAGGGGAAAAACTAAGATTTGCTTCTACTAAGAGCAGAAACCAGCTCCTGCTGCTTTCTGAGTGTCCATGGGAGGAAGGTGACCCTTCCCTCATGTTTCAGACACGCCACCCGACTCCTGTTTGTCTTCATTTATCCTCTAAAGGGCAAAAATAAACTGACACCAAATAAATGGAGGGAGAAATTCATAGGAAGCTAAAGTGGATGTAAAATTAATTTAGGTTGAAACGGTTTTGCTTAAGAGAAAAAAACTACTTGTTTCTGATATTTCCAACAAGCTGTGAATGCCCTTTAACTCCAAAGTTTAAACTCCACCACCTGCTGAGGTATGACCACCAAACCAGGCTCTATCCAAAAGCATCCATCAGAGGGTTATGGGGGGAATTAAAGGAGAACTGATCATTTAACTGTGGTCAGACAGACGATTTTGGTTCAATTAAACAGAAATGTAACAGAGTCTGATAAGGTATTTGGAGTTTGTCCCACAATAATGACAGAAAACCTAAAGAAAGAGCATCTTAACGTCATTAAAGCACTTTAAATGTTAAAATTTTTTAGAAATTAGTCCAAAAGGAAACCTATCTAAACTTAAACCACAAAGAGAGAAAAGAAAACTAAACAGGAACCCGTCCTTCATCCTGCACAGCAGCAATAAGGTTCAATTTCTCCACATTTTTAAGAAACTATTCAGAAATTTACGTTTCAATTTCTCAACTAAAGAAAAAAATTTGTAATTAAAAAAATGTTTTTAAATAAATATTAAATATATATATATAAAAGTGGAAATCTGGTGGTATTCTTGTTTTGTTTTAGTTTGCTTTTTTTGCTTTTTTTATTCTTCTAGGACATGATGTTAAAATAAAAGAAGGTGCATCCCTGAAATGAGCTTTAAAGAAGAGGAACTACCAACATCTAGGCATTTCTCTGCCTTTAAAACCACTTTACAGGCCGATATTTGCTAATTTCTCCAGTGTTTCCTGCCGTTTATTTCTGTGAGGCTGAAGGTGCCGGTGGCCTCTCGTCTGGGTGTTTCCTCCACCAGTTTCCAGCCCTCATCATCTCACCAGAAGCCAGATCTGAGTCTTTTCTTCTATTTTGCGCACTCACTGTGAACTTCTGCTTTTGCCAAAGAGCCCTGAGTCCAGGATGTTGTTAATCTACTGGAGTAAAGTTGCTGGAGGAGATGGATGGATTGAACACCCACAGATCCCTGAGTCAAGCAGAACTAGGTGGGGCCTGTCAATACTGTGTGTGTGTGTGCGCGTGTGTGTGTGTGTGTGTGTGTGTGTGTGTGTGTTACTGATAGTACAACAGCAGAAGAATAAACCCAAGCCTCGTCTGTAAATAACAGTTGGCGAGACAGGATGTCAGACAGGCACACACGATCCCCCAAACGCCTCATTCCGCAGCGAGTCTCAAGTTACTTCCTCTCTTTATCTTCCAGCGGAGCAGCGGGGGCTCCGCAGCTCCGTGGCCGCCTGACAACGCTCCCTCCCCGGTCTCGTCTGAGAGCAGACGCCGCTGCCATGGAGGTCGGACCCCGAACGCAACACGGAGCCCAAACACGCCTTTTCCAATCCCAAACAGGCCAGAAAGCAGAAAGACGGCCGCCACCATGTCTCCCGGCTGCTTATATCAACTGTATGATCGAAAACGGAGCCACCGTCTGTGTGTCTGTCTGTCTGTCTGTCTGTCCGCCGGTCGCTCGCTTCCGCAAACCCAACCCATCTGAGCACGGCACCGGCCTGTCTGGCCCCCGGTGGCCCCCGGTGGACCGGACCGGGGCCGCTCCTCTCCCCGTCAGCCCACGGATACCAAACGGCGCAATAGAAAGAGGAAAACGGGGAAATGGGGGAAAGAGGGAGCGGTACTCACAGTCATCCACCCGTCCGCTCCGCCGCGCGTCGCTCTCTCTCCCGCTGTCCGTGAACGCCGCTCGACCACAGCCGCTCCCTCCTGCCGCCGCCGCGCGCTGACGTCAAGCCGACGCGGTGAGCAGGGGCACTTCCGGTTCCGCTTTTCAACGTAAAAGCCTCAAGCCATTACACCGGTTGCTACTGGAAACTATGTTATCATACATAACCAAAATGTTTTTTAAACTTATTGGTCACAACAGAGATTTTCTAGTTTCGGCATTTTATATAAAGATAAGTAACAATAATCTCTTTGATTGAAATTTAATTTAAATTAGATATTCCAAATGAGGCATTCTTTTTTTTACCCATTATGTTGTTGAAGAGTATTGATATTACCAAGATGATTAACTCAGTAAATTACATTGGATTTCCCCTTTTTTTATATCAAAGGAGATTAGAAAATCCCCTGAGTTCCTGGTACCTTAAATCTGTTTTTTGGGAGCGGAAATGTTCACTGTGCGTCCCAATCTCCCATTTCTTTGGCTGGATTAAAATAGTATAAATCTGCAAAAACATTCAAAGTATCTACCTAATTGGATAATTATCTAGAAAACATTTAATAATAATGAAAAACACCCTCCCTCTCATTTCCCATCAGGATAAAGGTCGTGCTTACATTTTAGCTTGAAGGCTTCCCAAACTAGTTTCCGGTTTTGCTTAAACTTTGTCGCATCTCGGCTCAACGCGATTTTTATGACATGTTTCAGCCTCGCGCACAGCTGCTTTCTACTTCCTGCAGAGCAACACCTATTTTACAGTTTATTTGTGTTTACCACATGAAAGTGTTAAAGCATTTTTCTATTGATTTCAGATCAACTGACGTCAGCAGCCCAACCAGAAGCCTGCCCAACTACAGCCTTTGCTCAATGGCACAAGGAAACCAAAATACTAAATCTTATTACAGTGGATCCAGTGGAGTGGTACAGGGCTCTATTCTTAGCCCAGCTTTAATTCTACTACAAACAAAACGTGTGTATTTTCCCTCTCAGCTCTTTTCCAAATGGTTCAATTTCATAAATGAAAGGCCTTTTTTTGACCCTTTGACCTGACTGGCGGGTCGCGCTTTAGAGTTGATGTTTAACAGTTTGTTCCTGTTTCACTTCAGAAATCAGACACAAAATTGGTACAGTAATCTGCTCCGTTTTGGACTTTAAGCTCATCAAGAGTTTATTTACCATCGATTTTTAGTGCCTGCTTAAACTCAGGCCCATAGTGTCATCATTTAATGACTGTTTGTTAAACCTCAAGATCAGCCGTTAGCGTTTCAAGTTTCATTGTTGGTCATTTAACTCTCACTAGCTTCCTCAAAGGTGGCCTAAGAGACAAGATATCAGAAATAATTAGCCCTTCTATTGATAAAGCACCAAAGGGACATGAAATAGGCCCAGAAAGCAGTGTGTGTGTGTGTGTGTGTGTGTGTGTCACTCCAGAAAACAGTGTAACATGTCAGAGCGTGTTGAGAGGAACACGCCTTAACACATACACACTCCACCGACACCCCCCGGAGAATTCAGAGAAACTTTTGGGTGAAGCCGCTTTTGATTCCTCACAATGTGAATGACCACACAGAGTCCAGTTACATTAAAAGTGTGAGTCACACACACACTCACACACACACACACTGTTTACTGGAGTAAGATACAGCTTTATGAGGCCACGCCCTGACAGGAAGAAGTCACCAAGAATAGCGGCGCCCTCCACCCAACCGGCTTCCCTTTCACTGACACACACTTCCTCTAAGTGTGTTTGTGTTCAATACACATAAAGGTGTGGTTTTGTCTTGCGAAAAAGAAGTTAAAAAACAAACGGCAAGAAAAAGGGAAATATCTGATTTCACTCAGAAGACTTTAGTTGGTTGCATATCCTGCATTTGTGGATGGGATTGATCTCTTTGTGTGTCAGAAATAGTCCAAAAAACACTTTGGAGTGACAGACGGCTAACATAAAAGACCACATTTAGGCCACCTAAAGACAATGCGTACTGGAAAAAAGCACAAATTGGAGATTGGTTTGGGTGAAACTCCAGATATATTTGACTGAGTTCAGTCCCTCTGATTTACAGGTTAGCTGTTTCTTGCTGCTAACCTCTCACACACACATACATTTCCTGACTGATGGAAAATGTTTTCCTTCCCACCCTGTAAACCAAAAAAAATGTGTAAGATTTATTCTTAACATCCCAATTCTGAGCTACATTAAAAGCATCATGAGACCAAACCATGTTGACATTAAAGGTGGGGGCGTTAAAAGTTCTTATTTCTATTTTCTAACTGTTTGTTTTGCACCTGAAATGAGCTAAAATCATTTATCTTCATAATTTAAAATGAAAAACATTATACAGACTATAAGAAATGGTAAACGGAACAACTGTTTAATCCGGAAAGGTGGTGTCCTCTAGATGTTCAGCATCTTTTTGTAAGTTTCTAAACTTGCTATTGAGGCATTCTGATTGGCTAAAAGGTCAAACTAACCCTTTAATGGTCTGTAGCTGGGTCTTTTTTTTGTAATTTGTGATTCCTCTTAAGTTCCTGCCCATTATTCTCCCCACATCAGATTTCCTCTGACGTTTGTTTTCACACAATCTCTTGTTGTGAGTCTTTAAAATGAGGCGATCTGAATGTGGCTGAGCTGATTACTGAACATCAAAGGGGATAAGATCATCTGCATGTCAATGATCAGACTCAGGCTCGTCCACAAATACAAACTCCTCAACTCACCTGTTGCTTGGAGACCAGATGAATGAGCTCATTTGGTCTGTTTGCTCTCCAACGCATCTCTGCCCAATTTAAGCAGCCAATCAGAGGAAAACGCATCAAAACAGGCAGGAAGTGGCGTCCTCTGATGGTTACAGTTTGTTTAATTTGATGTCAGAGCGCCGTACTTTAGTTGATACACACACCATATGAGAGGTTCCAACCTTTGAGCCTTGATTATTATCTATTGTACAGTTAATATTCTTACCCAGACTTGTGATTTTATAATATAGTTGATGAACAGGGGGCTGAGTTGTGGCTCCCTCTGCTGTACTAAACTGCTTTTTCACTCATTTCTGCTTTTGGATAAATAAAGACTTTAACTTGATGTCAATAACAACTCACCTGCACTGGAAATGTCCAAATAAATGGGACTTCCTTTTCATGTTGCTGGCAGTCGTGGGCTAAAGTCTCGTCCAGTTTCTCTGATGTTTCAAGGAAACACTGCACTTCCTTCAAGGATTAAGCTGAAAATGACAGAAAAAGCAGATTTTATTTTTCAAAATAACTTAACTTTATTTGCTTCCACCTTCCAGCACAGTTCAGCTGATAAAATGATTTCTTTTCTAGTGAAGACAATTTCCACAATTTTAACAAACACTGTCCAGCGTTGACCTCCGGCTGAGCTATAACATCAATCTCATGGTTTAACGTGTAATAATTTAGAAGATGACCCTTCTTAAACTATTTACAAAACCTTTGCAAACGGCTTTATTTTAGCATTAAACAAGTCAGAGCTTGGACTTTTTGTTTGTTCACCCCTGTTGCTTAAGATCAGTCAGGCTTCAGCTAAAGTTTAGCAATAAACCAGACGCCGTACAGTAATGACCTTTGACCTCTCAGCAGCATTAGCATCACAGATCTGCTGCTTCTGAACCCGTTCTCTGCTCAACTGCATCTCTTCCTCCTGATAAAGGCCAAAGCATTACCCTCCTTAAACTAAACTCTAGTTTGCTGTCAGACATCCATTTGTGTTCCTCCACAGGTAAAGACATGTCGAGGCCTTTTCCATGTCAGGACAGGGAGGGCTGCACCCCTAAAGCTGCACTTCCTAATCAGAAATGGGCCATCAGATGGTTTTATTTGTCTGGATTGTGTCTGTACTACTGTGTAAATGTTAGTACAGAGCTTAATCCTCATTAGTTTAGTGTACAACAGTAGGGGACATCTGATAGGAATGTGCAAAAGGGAATCATTCTTGTCCAATAAAGACTTAAAAACTGGTACATCTGGAAGACATCTCCAGAATTCAGAGTAAATTATGCCAACTTTAATCTGGTTTTCACTTTTAAGATGAAATGAATGAAATACAAATCCCCCCCTGTCTCCTTTTGTTTGTTATTCATCATCTGTGTCTTCTGGATGTCCTTTAAAGCTGAAAATTGAGCCTAGATCGGACTCAGGTGGACAAAAAAAACGTAAAGTAACACAAAGAAAGAAGGCAGTCGGAGTATGAAGGCAGGCAGAAATGGACCTTTTTATTTTTCTTGGGCATTAAACAACAGTGGATTGTCCTGACCGGACCGGACCGGACCAAACTGGATCAAATCAGCCAGAGCCTGACCCAACAGAACTAGCAGGACAGTGAAATCAAACCACGGCTGACTAGACTGAACCGATTGGTGGCAGCCAGACTCAAATAAACAGCCAACGGATGGTTTCAGGCCCAGTGGGACCGGGCGGGACAGAGTCCAGATACCTTCTCCTCCCTCCCCGACTTCTCCCTTCTTCCCTTCCCTCTTAGGAGTGAAGAAGTCAAAGGTCGAGCAATTGAATTGAGGGGAAACAAAAGATGCTGATTGGTCCACAAACAGTAAAACCCGCCCCTTCCTCCTCTCGCCAAAAGCCTCCAATAGGAAGCCCACATCATTCACGAAAAAACTAAAACAAACAGAACCAAAAAAATTAAAATAAAAAAAGAAGAACAAGCCCCCAAGCCCCTTCTCCCATTGGTCACCACAGCTTCAGGTGGGGGGGGGGGTCATATCTTCACTCATTGGTCAGTTTGATAACGCCACCTGTCAGTCGCTCAGCAGTGGCCAATCAGGTTACAGTACCTGTGGAACTTTCTGGAATTATGAAAAGGAAGAAAGAAAAAAAAAAAGAGAGAGAATGATGATGCACATGGAGATCAGCCAACCAGATGATCTCGATAGAAAACAAACAGGAAGTGGGAGGAGCTTCCAAGCCTTTCAAGGAAATAATTTTTCAGGATTTTTTTCATTTTCCGATCTGCGTTTTTGTCCTTTTTTTGTCCGTGTGTGAGCCGTCCGCCAGCCTTCCTCCTGTCTTCCCCAACTGCTGATTTCAGTGCAATGCATCATGGAACGATCACTCGCTAGGAGAGGATGTGTCACTACATCTGTGTGTGTGTGTGTCGTTGTGTGTCTGCGTCCTGTTGTCATGGAAACATGCTGCAGGGATAGCGCTCCAGCAGCGGGTGGTGCCGTGTTGCATCGTGGGAACCGGTGCTGTCCGAGTTCTTAGCTGGTGTCCATGGACTCCATGTTGGCCGAGCTGGAGTCTCTCTGGATGGAGTCAAAGATGGCCGCCAACTCCTGATTGGACGAGATCTGGGACTGGAACTCCGACATCAGCGGCGACTTCTCGGCCTCCGGGATGGTCAGCAGGGCCACCACGGCCCGCATCGCCGACCGCTTCAGCTCGTCCTGCTTCTCAAACTCCTGCTTCACCGAGTTGGCCTTCACCTGCGGAAAAACGGGAGGTTTTCATTCTGAAGAGGCCTCTGTTCATCTCCTGACTCCCTCTTATCTGAGACTAAATTAGACACAACTCCCCCTAGTCACAGTCTCCAGCTTCTCCTGAGGTGTTCTTGAGCAGCAGGATGCCTGAGTTGGATATCCAACTCCTCCCATATCCAAGTCGGCCATTTTGATTTGGTCATAAGAGTAGCAGTTTGGGTCCGTTTTGGACCACTTTAGGGTCCCTTTTGGGTTGGTTTGGGTTAGTTTGGGTTTTGGGATCAGCTCCGAGGGGCAGGACGGGTTGGTAAATGAGGTTTTTATATCAAATACATGCAAAATAAACAGGGAATCAACAAAACAAAAGAAACAAAAAAAGTTTTCGTTTGAAATTCATCGTCCTCCATGTCTTCTTTTGGCCTATTTTGGACTAATTTAGGTCAGTTTGGGTAGGCTTTGGACCAGTTTTGGACCGGTTCAGCCCCCTTTCGGACTGGTTTGGGTTCGTTTTGAGTTAGTTTGGGACAGTTTTGGGCTGGAATGGGTTAGTTTGGGCCTGTGCTCAGCTCCGTGGGTCAGGACAGGTTGACAAATTATGTTTTTATATGAAATACATGCAAAATAAACAGGGAATCAACAAAAAAACAAAAACTCCAACTGACGACCACTGAGAACCGGAACCACAAAGGCTAAACTCCTCGACATGAAGCAGGACTTTTCATGGCATAAAAATGGCAAAACTTCCTTTTTTGTGCCAGTGAAGGACTCCAGAGAAGATGAAGGGTTTAGCTCTAAGAACCAGCTCACTCAGAGCAGAGACTGAACCCTGAGGCTTCAATAGCTGACCCCGTCAACCTGCTTATAGCTCAGGATCTGGTCCATGAAAGCCACCAACGGGATGGTGACAGGTGGATGGGTCCACGGGGGGAGACTTTGCTTATAAAACCAGAATTTTTAATGGTGCTTTAAACTTTTAGCATCTTAAAAATCACCCAGAGGATCAAAGAGCAGCTGCCCATGAGAAGATAAACTCCAGCTCCATCCCCCCACACACACTCTCAGCCTGTGCTGTACCTTGGTGGTGCAGGTGGCTCTCAGGGGCTCCACCAGTCTGTCCAGTCTCTGCAGAACGGCACTGGGACACAGCGACGACAGCCGGGCCAGCATCAGGAATGTCAGCATCTGGAGACAGGACAAAACATAACCCAGACATCAGCCCAGTTTATCATGGGGACAGACCAGTTTAAGATGGAGACAGCCTGGTTTAACATGGGGGACAGCCTGGTTTAACATGGGGGACAGCCCAGTTTAACATGGGGGACAGCCCAGTTTAACATGGGG